CACATTCAAAAACTGCTTTCTCCTGCTGTGGGTTCCCTTAGTGGTCTTAACGGGCTACTGAAAATTTTGTTAGACATTATACTTACAAAGGAAATTGTATATAATTCATGAGCTTAGAGATTTGCAGAGATCATGAAAGATGGGCTCATTCCTCTGACTCATTAATGTCTGGGGTTTGTAAACAAACTGAGGTTCTCACTTAAAGACCATGTTAGATCTAGCTGCCGTCTCCGCACATTACACCTTTAGAATAATTGGAGCCTCTTCATCAGTTTCTGCCTTTCACATATTGTGTGGGCAAAGAGGGGAGACCCCAAGCGATATACTTACTGGGAAAGGTGACTATAATTTGGAGGTAAATGTTTTAAAGCAATGTGTTTTACAACCAAACTTTAAAATGCTGCCTTAGACCCTATTCTATTAGGTCTACATCTGGGAAAATACACTGGGCTGCTTCCTAGCTCCACATGCCACTTAACGTGTTTCTGGGACCTTTGCAGTACTGCAAGTGCCTCGCCTTAGAGCAGCCTTTCCAGTTTTCCCAAGAGGACATGCCCCGAGTGCGGAAGAGGATTTACAAGGAGCTATGTGAGTGCCGGCTCATGGACTGAAACTCAGCAGGGACTCTGGGAGGTCTGACCAAGTTGAAGCAGATGGTTTGTTACTTGAATCTCCAAACACTTATTTGAATTTTTATAGATATTTCAGATCAGTGGTGTTGGGCCACTATTGTTACCTCAAATTTGTTTTTTGCCCTTTTCATTTCTCTAGCTACCGTGTACTATTTTTTAATGTTCAGTTTGGTTTTATTTTTAATTTTATGGATTCCGTGTGTTTCCCCCATATTTAATATTTATTATCCAAACGCATGCATATAGACAGAGCATGCAGTGCAGAGTATTAAAAAAAAAAAACAAAAAAAAACCTAGTAGATTTGGTGCGGCTTTTGAAACTTAGACGTGAACTGAATACAGGTTTAAAATTTAATCCCAGAACCTAAAAGCGCAGGATGTTTTCAATACAACGTAACTCTGAGAATGATAGTTGTTCCCTGGGGCATAAAGGGTAGCTAGGAGTGGTGGTTTTGACAAAGCCAGTCCTGTTTTACCTGCTGCACCTTTCACTGACTTCCCTCTCCAAGTGAGTCTTGCCGAGTTGCATTCCTTTTGAAGGGTGAGAAGAAAGCCAAACCTGACTGGTGTGTTCCGTTTTTAGAGGCACCCTTATAAAGTGCAGTGCCTGCTTTGGGAGGAGTGGATTAAGGTGTGAGAAAAAGACAACTTTGGGGATCCAATTACATTAACACATGAGAAATTTCGATCTTGGCTGTAAGAAGAATTATAACAAATTCCCACATCTTATAAAGGCTTTTGCTAGAACACTGAATTCTCTGGATTTTTGGTTTTGGCCCATTAAAAATGTTACTGTCCATTAAACCTAGTGGTCAAACACATGAGAATTCAGCCTTTCTAAGTACTTTACAAGTTGTGGTTATCCTTGTGTGATCTCCCATATGGAAGAAATTAAGATTTACCAAACACCTTTCTTTTTCCAAGGGTGTTTAAAATATAAATCTTCAAAACTGAAGACGGACCAGGTCTTTTGCAGATGCGTGGGGAGGAGAGAAGAGGAAGGGTAACGAGACAACTGCACAGGAGCAGAGCAGATGTTGAGGTTTTTTGCTCTTACCTCTAGTGATCTCAGCAGCATGCGGGGCTCCACATTTTGTCCTTTGCTTAGCTGCATTAGGATTAAAGTAATGGATCTTACATTTTTATTCTAGCCTTTTGTGATATTTGAAAGGAAGGGGAATCCAGAAAGATGCATGTTAAATTACCCAATTATCTTTTGAAGTGGGGCAGAAAGAACACAAAGGTGTATGTAAGAATCTCAGAAGCTTACACACAATACCAAGTTAATGACAGAAGATGCTTGGCATTATGCTGGTTAGGTGTGGGGTATTGAAAATAAAAAGCTAAAATGTGCAGTTTAACTTGGCCAGAAGGTGAGGTTGCCAGCAGTTGAGGGTAGAGTCCCAACATATTTACACGCAGGGTCCCCACCCCCCATCCTAAGCACCAACACCAGTGTTTACGTTGTAAAGAGCCCCAGCACTCTCCAGAGCCCTCTGGACTTACTGTAAAACCAGGTCAGTATTTCTTACTGAGATCAGAGGCACTTTTATGCTGCTACAGTTAGGGTTATGTCAGCATTAGCAAAGATGACAGTTTAAGTGGGGAGGATATGTTCTTGAGGTTTTCCTACATGATTATGCAAAACGTGAGATTTTTTTCAGATCTGCATGTAAGACATTTGCTTAACTTTTGCGGGGGGGAGGGAGGTAGTTATACAAAGTAGCCAGTATAACTAGGCTGTGGATTCACAGTATCTTAAACTTTAGAGCTCCAGCTAACCTCCTCACGGACGGAATGAGGCATGTAGAAAAGACACATACAACTGTGTTCTGAATCTTCATGGCCAAAACTTGAGTTGCCATTTCCTCCAGTTTGAGAAATGGTCACCCTCTGAGGCAAGCAGGGGTGTGCATAGGTAACTAAAGCGAACTGTCGAAGGCCAGCTTCCCTTTCACTTCCAGTTTAATAAGGCAGCTTGAGGTGCATTGTCTGGCATGCTTTTGCCTAAATGTCAAATATTTTACGAATCTGGTTCAAAATGTTTCTCTGTTCATGAAACTTGGTTTTAGCACATAGTCGCTTTTCCCATTCTCGTGACTAGGTGTGAACCTCTATTTAGTCCAAGCCCTACATCAGAAGGGCCTTTGTCCTCATGTTTGCAATAATTTCTTCCTTGCAACAAGGACATTTTTGAAATGTAGTCTTGGCTGCTGGTGGAAGAGGCAGGCATTGTTTTATTGTCACTAGCTTGGCACTGAATTGTTTGTTTGGGTGCTCACAAGGTGGGCAGCCCTTATGCTTTGGGGGTTGAGTGCAGGCCTTGTACAAACTAAAAGCTGCTTACGATGTGCCTTCAAGCCGTGCGCAGTCCTGTCCATCAACACACTTACTGGTCTGTAGTTATTTCTTTCCAGTGATTTGTCCTTATGTTAAATCTGTAGCAATGAATGTAGATTTAATTCAACTTTTAGTTGAGTTCTCTTAAGAGAGGATCTCTTAAGGAAGGGAAAAGCAGCAGTTGCTGCCAAAAGTCCCCCAATCACTTTTTGGTTTTGCATCATATTTTCAACTTATCACTGAATATGAGTGACACCGGTCATGTTGGATTCATAGTTGGAACAGAACAACAGCCCTAACTGGGACACAGCCAGCACTAGTCTAGAGCTGCCCTTTTCTCTGCAGTTTTGCTTCACTGGTTCCCTGGGTTAGAAGTGCTGACTGGGAGAGCTCTGGATGAATCAGACCCTTCAAGCGTGTTAATAGTGTGAACTGAATGAATATACTGACTACCTGCTCTGCTTAATTAAGAAACCGAACTAATCAGCAGTTGTAAAGCACCTGCTTTTCTTATGTGTGAGGCTCATGCCTCTTGGCCTATAGATAATTAAGACTTAGGGACTATACCATCAGAGAAGTGCTAATTGTATTTGGGTGTTACAAAAACAGCCTAGATAAGCTGTTGACTTAAATGGTACCTTTTGGTCAGAAAAAGAATTTATTTAAAGATTGTGATCATGTAAAATTACTCAAACCTAGCAAAAATATTTTTTTGAAAAATAAACTAAATGCCTTTATAAATGTGTGTTCTCTTGAATAACATGTACTGTTCAGTGAATAGTTTCTCAAAGGGATACTCTTGTCATGACAAGGCTCATTTATGAACAGTGACCAGCAGCCTACCCTTAAATAACACCGCCCAACAGAATTTTCTGCAATGATGGCAGTGTTCTCTGAGCATAGCTAGTGGCTACCATATTAGGTAACTGTCAAATCAAAACGGACATGCGCAAATTCACCTTACTCACAAATATTCCAGAGTAAGAGTTCCGGTGTCACTCTTGTATAGGTGAGGTAGTGGGGCAGAGACAAAGATAACTTGGTCTGACAATTCAAACAGGAACCACGGTCTATGGTTTTAAGGCCTGTAGAAATCTGAGTTATATTTTACTACAAAATTATAAAATACATTAATTCAAACTACAGTGTAAAAGAAATTTTCAAAATGATTATGTCCTCATTAAACATCTGCAAATGCTTCTTTCCTAAGCATTTAGAACTAGTTATAGCTCTTAATCCAAATAATCAGCTTGAACTTATGAGAGAACCTGTACTTACTGTAATGTGAAAGATGTTCACATTGAGATACTTCAGCCCCAACTTTCAAAAACTCTAGTGGAAGTTAGATACATAAGTGAAATTTTTTCATCTAGCAACAGAGTAAGGGAAAATTATATTAGACTAAGTTTAATGAGCAACAGTTCATATATATTAGAGAAATCACCTTGTGCCTTACACATGCAAAATAAATTTTGTAGACCCCCTTCACCATAGAGACTGTCAGCTCACTATACAGGCTCTGAAGCTCGGTAAGCACAATTAGGGAAAAAACAAGACAGACTTCAAATGAAAATTGGCTGAAACACATTTCCTGTGGGACGCAATTCTGATTGTTCTTGTTAAGTGTTCTCTTGATTTTTCAACCTCTTTTTTAAACCCAGTCCATTCCTGAGATCACTCTGAAAATGAATCTTTAAGTAGAACACATCTTTTGAAAAATGTGTACAGTAAATACTAGTCAAATTTTAATACATAAAGCACATAAGCTGGTGGTATCTCCTAGGACAGTCTAAGGCTTACTTTTGCATCAACAATTTAGGAAGTTCCCTTGACTCCTCTAAGTTTGCCTTTAGAGATTAGAACTCAACACAGAAAACAAACTCAGTTGTCAAACATCTTACATTCAGAACAGTACAACATAGCAAAACCCCATTTATTACATTTTTATTTCCTGCAAACTTAAAATTTTTGAGGCCCCAATGAAGACCAGGAACCTATTATCAATTTTTAAAATTTTCCAGCTTCCTGAAAAAAGTGTGGTGTTTTGGGCTGATAAATGAAACCTGTTGCCACAGAACACAAATTCTGACCTGGTGACATAAAATCATTCCGGCAAGCTGACGTATGGCCAAGATTCTAAGACTACAGAATAAAGGCATTCCTTTGGATTCTGTCCTTTAATAATTTTCAAAGGACACCCATAAAATGGCTTCGAGCTCAGTAGAGACCTTGATCAAAGCATGTTAAAAGTGGGCAGGTTTGCAGACCTTGGGTAACGCATGGCAAATTCAACAGGCCAAAGGAGTGAGTTTTCATGATTGGGCTCTCACCACTCACTGGTTTTGGGCCAGTTTTCCATAGCCTCCTCTCCCAGCATCATAGTCCTGCCGATACTCATCTCGTACCTTAATTGAAAAGAACATAAGTTACATTATAGAGAAGATTGGTGTAATGAATATGCCTCCCACAGACACATAAGCAGGCAAACTGTTCAGCCTTTTCAGGTGTCATAATGTGAACATTCAAGTAGGACCTAACGTTTTTTTGAGCAACAGATGTAAAGCTCAACTGCCTTGCAAAATTAAGATTACGTGGGGCGCCTGGGTGGCTCAGTCATTAAGCATCTGCCTTCAGCTCAGGTCATGATCCCGGGGTCCTGGGATCGAGCCCCGCATGGGGATCCCTGCTCAGCGGGAAGCCTGCTTCTCCCTCCCCTCCCTGCTAGTGCTGTCTCTCTCTCAAATAAAAAAATATATTCAAAAAAGATTACATAATGGTTTTGTTTGCTTGCTTAATAAACTCTACGCCCAACATGGGGCTTGAACTCGTGACCCCGAGATCAAGAGTCACATGCTCTACCATCTGAGCCAGCCAGGCGCCCCTATTTTTTTTTTTTTAAACCAAACATCATGCTCATACTCAACAGCATTCAAAAATAGCATATTCCAAATGGCTATTTTAAAATTAAAAACTTAAAATTTATTTCAATGCATTCTCCTTTTGTTCTAGACACTTACAGGTACAAAATGCCCCTAGCAGAAGTCCAATAATGGTTGCTTGTGAAAATGTGTAGAATCTATAATTTACCAATCCTAATGGGTAGTTTTCAGATTCACTGCAAGCCAACGGTTATAGGCACAAAATTGTTTTCTAAAAGAGCAAACACAAAGTGACAAAGCCCTTGTCACTAGGACTGAGATACCAGGCAAAGACTGAGCCAAAAGAACCTTCCTGCATACCTGGCCCCCAGATCGCCCACGGCCATACTGCCTTCCCTCCTTAAAGCCTGCGTCCCAGTCTGTGCGAATGATCCGGTCATCCAGACGAGTTCCGTTTATGTACCTCATGGCATTTTCTGCATCTGCTCTTGAATAGTATCTTCAGTATTAAGGAACACTATATAGCATTTCTCCAAACACTTTTGGAAATACAGAAAGCAACATCTAAATGAAGCTGAGTTGTTAAGAAAGAGTACAAAAACGAATCCAACCAGAAGGATTTCAAAGATAGTAATTTGGTTTGCACAAGCCTGTTTGAGGTTGGTCCAGAAGCACTTACAGAGTCAACTATGATTTATCCAAGGCTACTGATCGTGATTTCCTAGATAATCCTGTTAATAATTATTTGGTCCCATTGTCCCCATATTTTGGTTTGTAAAGTATAAATATGTTCAGTGCAGGTTTAGAGCGCAAACTGCACACTTCTTATCCAAGGAAACAAAAACATCCAAATTTGGAACTGTATATTCAACCTTAATAAAAAGAGAAGGTTACAGTGCATATGGAATTGCCATTGCATTTCATTAGAAGGAAAGACTCAGTATCCTATTACTCAGGTTAGGTGTTCCCAAACCTGTTTAATCAGATCCACTCAGTCTACCTTTGGGGTGATATTAAAATCTATAAGCAATCACTATCATTAGCTGGGTTCAGGGAAATGCTGAACTCTATTGTCTTCAATTACACAGGCAGGGAAGCACTTGCTGAAATTCCAGTGTCCAACACCTACACGATGCCTAGCACATAATGGGCATTCAGTAATTTTTTTGCTGGATGAATGACATGATAAAAGGGCAAAGTGAGAAAAAACACTGGCAATGGCAGCCTCTCTTGGCAATCGTCTGCTGTTATGATTGTGGATCTCTGACACACAAGACAAATGCAAAAGCATTCAGTTCTCAGAGACTGAGTATTACCTACAAGGTGGACTTGCTTTGTGTCTTCTATTGTTCTCCCTGTACCCTCTGAACTTTGATGCTATTGCCACCTGAGGCGAATATAAAATCTGGGCACTCTTGTCCCTTGTGTCTGAAGGGGGAATGGAAGAAGCTTGTAGAGCCCAGAAATCAGACCCCAAAATCAAAAGTTTGGAATAGGTTCGAAAGTAGGGCTTCCAGTTCAAGCTAAAAGAGTAAGCACATTTCTCATTTCCTTTTCAAGACCCCATTAAGATGACATATATACACCCAAAGAACAGAAGAGGCCATCAGCAAACGAGAGGTTCAAGGAAGTGAAGGAAGAGTGCTAATGGATCAAACAAAGTCACAGTTTGAAATATTCTTGAAGGGGCTTAAAGGAGACAGCAAATAGGGTTTAATTAAAGGTCTGTATGTGGGAAGATCACCTGCGAGCAGGAAGGCATTTAAACACAGGCAAATAAAAATAGAACGACAGAGTTTTGAACAAACCATCTGGAGGAACCCTATAGGGCAGTGTCTTTGATGTTAGTTAAGTCAAAATAAAATCCCTTTTCATTCTGGCATTTAGGAAACCCACATTTACCAAAGGCGGGGCAGCAACTTGAGAGAGAGCTGCCTGGGCCCACAAAGTTAGCCTTCTTTTCCCTAATTATGACTGGGAACCTAGGGATCACCAGACATTTAAGGAAAATTTACAGCATAAATACAAGCCCCCCAAAAAGAAAAAAAATTCCCAGGTAATTTGGGGCACAAACAAAATTTTTTGAAACATGTTAGATGAGGTCTGGGAAATTTCTCAGAATATAAGACAAAGTGACCAAAAAAGAAAATGTTAGGAGAAAAAAACCCCAAGCAAAAAATCCAGGAGGTCCAATATTTACAGAATTTCCAGGGAGACGCTAGTTTGGTTTTGACCTTATATAAAATCAAGCTATATACATCTACATAATGAAATACTATACAGCCATTTAAAAAAGAGGTAGACCTATGTGTGCTACCATAAAACAATCTCTAAGGTGGGGAAAAAATAGTGCATGCAGTATGCTACCATGCATCCACAGGATCACTGCTGGAAAGACACCCAAGAGACTGGTAACTGTCTGGGTTTAGAACAGTACAGAGATTTTATTTTCCCTATATCCTTTGTACTTCTGTAAACACCATGAGCATATATTTTCAAAAGACTGTTTCTTAAAGAATAAATTCTAAACAAAGCACGGATTTCAGAACAGAATGTAAATGTTAGCAGCTTTTACGACACAAGAGTGCAGACACACTGGGCAGAAGGTAAGAGCTAGATGAAGGAAGGAGACGTAGAGGTAATTAAGTACAGGGATGCTAATTAGTGGATAGCCTCACTCATTTTTTTAAAACTAGCCACTCTTGGCCCCACCCTCACCCAATAGCTACACCAGACACACAGGAAGGATACTCCACAAAGCAGAACCCACATGCTGTTTTCTTCATCTTATCCAGGCCCATAATGATCTTCTTTATGTCACCACTTTTGCTGAAGAGTTCATAGATTTGTTCTTCAGTTGTGTAAAAGGAAAGATTTCCAACATACAATGTGCAGCTCTTCTTCAGTAATTTTTCCTGTTCTTCATTGTCACCCTGGAATGTCAAATAGAGAAAAAGTTCAGCAACACAATCTATGAAGAGTCCTGCTTAAATAGTATTCCCAAGTATGGCAAAAATTGTCATTAGTTCTAATTTGGGAATCAGCTTCTCTCATCATCCCAGTCTACCACAAATCCCTTGCCAGAGAGAGACAGAGAGAGAGAGAGAGACAGGTGTTCACATTCTATGACGCACTTCTGCAGGTCCAGACTGCCTTCAGGAGACAGCCACAGCTTAAGGGTCATGTTGCATTAGCTTTCCTCCTGTGCCGTACTGTGCCATGCAGATGGCATGCCTTTTCTCCGTACACTCCATATCCTCAGCACTGGAACCTTCTCCCGTTGCTTGAATTTAACTTCCGCATCTTCAACCAATATACTAGAAAGGACTTTTTTGTATTGAAAAATAAATGGATTTTCAGAGATAGGGTATCCCTTATAATAATCCCATAGAGAATGTTCAAAACAACTGCTTAGATGGTTTACATGCTCATATATTTTTCTGAGTTTAGGAGAAAATGTACTGATCACTAAAAATGAGAGATTATGTTTTTTTATTTATAAAAAGGTTCCCTTACCTTTTATTTTTTTTAAATTTACTTATTTTTGTGAGAGCAAGAGAGCGTGAGAGAGAGAGCGCGCGCGCAAGTGCACAAAAGCAGGGGAAGGGGCAGAGGGAGAAGCACGCTCCCCACTGAGCAGGGAGCCTGATGCAGGGCTCGATCCCAGGATCCTGACCTGAGCTGAAGGCAGACGCTTAACTGACTGAGCCACCTAGGTGCCCCAAGAACTTATGTTTTTTTTTTTTTTAAAGATTTTTATTTATTTATTGAGAGAGAGAGAGAGAATGGTAGAAAGAGAGCACGAGAAGGAGGAAGGTCAGAGGGAGAGGCAGACTCCCTGCCGAGCAGGGAGCCCGATGTGGGACTCGATCCCGGGACTCCAGGATCATGACCCGAGCCAAAGGCCGTCGCCTAACCAACTGAGCCACCCAGGCGCCCAAGAACTTATGTTCTTGAGAGGCTTCCAAATTTGGAAGACAGGATGAAGCCAGAGACAGGAATATAAGTGGGCTTCAGCCAACCTACCTGACAATCCCTGGGGCTTGTCATGGGCTAGATACGGTATTTTACATGCCTGCACAGAAACCAGTTGGTCGTCCTCGGACCTTCTCTTCTGTCCTCCACATTGGGGAGGACAAATGGTAACGAAATAGAACACCTACCCACTGACCTGCTCTCAGGCTCTCAGGTTAAGGCTCTAACATCAACCATAGAGTGGTATTCCAGTTTGGAAAGTAGCTGAATAGATCTACACTGAGGCCCCTAGAGCATTTCCCAAGAGACCTCCCTTCTTCATTTACTGTTCCATATATAATGCTGATCCAGTTTCCTTCACTCTGAGAACTAGACTTTGCATTACTTGTCTCTGAAAGCTTTGTAGCACAGAGCTCAGACTAACAGGTCTCCTGTGATCACATTCAGTGGCAGAATGGAGGGATAGAGAAACCGTCTAAAGGAAATCACAATAAAGGAAAATGATGAAATAAATTATGGTACATCAATAAATAACGTATACGCATACGCACATGCAGTTACAAGGAACATCTCTTGAGACAGTGATGACCATAGTGAAAACAGGTACAGAACAATGTGAAGGGTATGCTCCAAAAGAATTTTTTTTTTTTAAAGATTTTTGTTTTTAATCTACTTATTTGACAGAGAAGAGAGAGAACACAAGCAGGGGGAGCGGCAGGCAGAGGGAGAGGGAGAAGCAGGCTCCCCACTGAGCAAGGAGCCCAACGCGGGGCTCGATCCCAGGACCCTGAGATCATGACCCGAGCTGAAGGCAGTTGCTTAACCAACTAAGCCACCCAGGCGCCCCTCCAAAAGAAATTTTTTTTAAAGTATGAATATAAAGGTCTCATACACAAGAAAGAGGTATATGTTCCTCTAGGGAGAATCAAGGGGTCGCAGGTCAGAGACTTCCACGTATGAAACTGCATTTAATTCTCAGAAGTGAATGAGGTAGATCCTAATTTATTAACTTTTACACCTGAGAAGACAGTTAAGTAACTTGTTCAAGGTCATACTGCTACTCAGTAGTTGCAGCTGGAATCCTAACCCAGTCTCCCCCCACCACCCCCAAACTCAGTCTTATGCCCAATCCCATACTTTGTTAAAAAGTCCACAGGATGAAGAGTCATTCTACATTAAAAACAAGTTTTCAGAACTTTGGAATGAGACATTACATAAAGTAGATTCATCTTATTTATATCACTGCTGTTAATGATTTATTAAAATTACCGGGAGGCCTTTTCTTTTTCTACCCACTTTTCTCACACATGTAAGTAATCCAAACAGCCTATTCCAAAGAAACAACCTATAGCTTAAGACAACTGTGGTGTAAGTCCTTACTTAAGGTATATTAACCTAGATTTCACTCAGAGAACATTAGAAGTTCCTCATGACAGTACCTGACCACTATCTAAATAAAGCTACAGGCCTTAGACTACATAGATGAATAACAAGTTGAAACCTTTCACAGTTTTACTCTCATAGGATGCCTGAAATTCAAGATGGTAATGATGTGTAACTTTCTAAAGTAATGAGAACTGCAAAAGTGATCGAAGTGAAAACCTTGCTTGGCATATAGTAAGCATTTAAAAATGGCTGCCTTAGCGAACGAATTTCAGGTCTTCCTCAATTTGGCCTCAAACAAAATTTCCTTTCCCCTACCCCGCTAACACGTTGTACGTACTCTCCACGTCCACCCTCTTCTACACGCGCTCCTCCTTTCCCATCACAAGACGTCTCCCTTTTCTGAATCCTCACAGGATTTCCTTTCCCCTCACCATTTCTGCTCTAGATTATGATTACTTGCCCCCGTTTACAATCCCTACTGGAAAATTATAAGCTCTTAGGGTGCGGAAACTGTCTTCCCTCTCCCTCTAGGACTTAGCAGGTTTAAGCAACAGTACTCAATAAAAGTCACCTAATAATCAGTGGTTGACGAGTGTCGCTCCACCTCGTCCCCACCTTTGCTGAGACTGAACAGCCTACCGCGAATATGTGCCGCCTTCCCTTTCCCCACATAATCTACAATGACGTGGGCCAAACTAAAACCTTCCTCTTCTGAAACCCAGCAGTTCTCTGAACTTGACACCTAGACTCTTAAAGTGCCTAGCTTGTACAGTCCACCTGCCCACTCCGAGGACTCCCTATGGTTGGAGTCAAGGCTCAACTTTGTGTCTCCCAGCCGCCGCGCAGAACTCTGTAGGACCGTTCTACTAGACCAAGAAGGAAAGGGCTCCACGCGCCACAGGGCAGATCTAATTTAAAATTAAAAAGTAATACAAAGTATCTGGTTCAGGAAGACGCCCCCTTTCCCCGTACTCCAGGTGTCAAAAGGACACCCCTGCCCCTCATATCACAAAGTCACCTTCCCAAGGCATAGCCTGTGCAAAAGCAAGCCACCACTACTACTGCCACTGGAACCCCTCTGCACTGGCCTGGGAAAGGGAGCAGCTGCAAGGGAATGGGAAAGCGAGCCTCAAATTCTCTACGAGATAATGGGATTCAGTGGTATCCAAACGCCCTTTCAGCTCCGTTCCCCAGCAGGCACCGGGGCCTCACTTCGCGTTTCGGGAAACCAAAGAACGGAAAACGACACAATGAGACAAGAGCAAGCCGATTCTCAGCGTTCTGGCCCTGGGCCTTCCCTTCCCGCGGCCCGGCCTCCCTCACCCGGAAGTGCTGGTCCCGGTACTGGCTCAGCTCCACGTAGGAGTCGCTGCGCAGCGCCTTCAGAAGGCCGCCGGACATAGTGCAGAGAGGTGGACGAAGACACCGCCACTCCGGGAACAACGAGGCTGCCGCGGCGCTGGCGGAAGCGGAAACGAGCGGAAGCGGCTACAAAAGGTGGGCATCCCGTGGGCCAATCCAAGCGCAGCAGTGTCGTCAGCGGGCGGCGCGGGCGCGGACGTGGTCCGTCTTTATTTGTCGGCCGTCGGAAGCGAGAGTGGCGTGCTCCGCGGGTTCCGGGTCGTTCAGAGGATGGTTCTTCGGCGGCTGTTGGGCGCCCTGCTGCACAGCCCGCAGCTGGTGGAGCGTCTGTCCGAGTCTAAGCCCATCCGGCGTGCGGCGCAGCTCACGGCCTTCGCGCTGATGCAGGCCCAGCTGCGCGGCCAGGACGCAGCCCGGCGTCTTCGAGCCCTCGCGGCTGGGCCCGCGGGCTCCCTAGGTCGCCGAGCTGCCCGCTTCAGAGACACCTTCATTCGGGAGCTGCGCCGCGGCCTCCGGGAACGCCCGGGGTCACCGCCAGGTAGCCAGAGGGGCCCGGGCGCTAACCCCTAAACCCAAGCTGGGTCGGGCCAGGGTCGCCGGCTTTCCCTTCTGGGTTCGACGCGGGCCTCGGCGCTAGGCAGTCATCCTGGGCACTGAGCACGGCTTTGAATCCCGAGTCAGACTGTCGGCTTTCAGAGGTCTCATTCATCAGAGAGCCCAGGCCAAACCGACATCCCCGGGAAGCCCTGTGATCGGACTGGGCACGGCGTGAAGAAAGCCCCCCAAGCTCGGGCCCTGGTACATCACGTACAGAGAGCCATGTCCCGAACCACAGCCCGAAGGAGTCTGCCCTGTGCGCATGGGACTAAAACTCGTGTTCAATGATGCCTCCTCTGCACTGATAGAGCAGCGCGCTACTTCCAGGGGAGAGAGCATGGATGGAAAGACACAGCTGCCAAAATACTCTGATTAAATGTGTGAGCCGAGTAATGGGTGTGAGTGTGGTACTTCTCCAGCGAGATGGGTTAGGGTTCCTGGGGACTATAGGCCCATGGTAATACTCGTTAGCGCATTTGGAGTGCTTACTCTGTGCTGGTACTTGCTAATTGTACTCCGTGTGGGTTATCTCCTTACAATCACTTTCTTTTCTTTTTTAAAGGATTTTATTTATTTGAGAGAGAGAGAGCACAAGCAGGAGGAGCGGCAGGCAGAGTAGAGAGAGGGAGAAGCAGGCTCCCCGGCTGAGCAGGAAGCCCGATGTGGGGCTCCATCCCAGGAATCTGGGATCATGAGCTGAGCTGAAGGCAGACGCTTAACGACTGACTGAGCCACCCAGGTGCCCTTACAATCACTTTCATATGACGAAGTGTAGGCTGCATCCTTGCAGAGTTGGGATGTGAATACATGCGTTTGACTCCAGGGCCTAAGTCCTTAACCACAAGTCTCTGCAGCATTTGCCCTGACCTTTAATGCCGGCCTTCACGTCCCCCACCCCGTTATCACCTCTGGGCGTTGGAACTGCCTATTACAGAGGGAACAAGCTACACGGATTCCTATCATCAGTTTTAGAGGATCTGGGATACAATCAAGATAGCTAATGGACCCATGAGTAGGAAATCCGTAGTATACAGAAATGCCTTGTCATTCGAAGCTTCTGACTGATTTTCTGATCGCCTCTAATTAGGCTCCACAGTTAATTGTGCAATCTAGAAAGGTTGAAGCCATGGGAGATGCTTTTAGGCTGGTGACCAACCAGAATTTATATCCTGGCTTTTTTTTTTTTTTTTTTAAGATTTTATTTATTTATTTGACAGAGACAGAGATAAGAGCAGGAACACAAGCAGGGGGAGTGGAAGAGGGAGAAGCAGGCCCCCGCAGAGCAGGGAGCCCGATGTGGGGCTTCATCCCAGGACCCTGGGATCGACCTGAGCCGAAGGCAGACAACGACTGAGCCACCCAGGCGTCCCATATCCTGGCCTTTCTGATAGTTACAGAGAAACAGCTGGATAGGGCCAGAGAGACCTCCTGTGGGGATGGAGAAGCTAAAGTAACATTCCTAATGTTCGTACTTTTGATTTGATGTCCCATTAGAGGTGCTGCTGTTTAATCCTCTCTAAGGCCCGAAGTCCCACTCTCCGAATGACCAAAGTCCTGGTTTGGCATCCTACCCTCCTATCCTACCAAAGGACAAATACTCCTCCCAGACCATAGGCAGCTCTGGATTCTACTTTGAGGCTGGCAGGGAGGAGCCTGAGGAGCTTGTTCCTTCTATGGCCTTTCTGCCACATTGGTCTCAGCCCCACTCATTTGTCTCTGGATCTCAGCAGCAGAATATTAGTCCCCAGCCTGACTCCCTACCCTCAACATAGGTAAGCACACTCACTGGTAGGTCTTTTCTCCAGACGGGCAGGGACAAAAACGGAAGCAGTGCTGGAAGCAATGAAACTACTGGACAAATTGGTCATTATGGTAAGAGGAGAGAAAGCAAGAGAAGGGGGCAATTGTTTGTTTCTCATGGAGGAAGTGTGTAAGAACTAAGTTCCCTCCATTTTTTAGAGGGAGTCGGAGCAGAGAGAGAAAACGGTCCTTTCTGCTCCAGCTACAGGTCATTTGGATGCCTCCTGCTTCACTGGAGAAGCCTCCAGTGATTGTAGTCACTGGCTTGCCATCCCACCAGTTACCCTATTACTAAAGAGAAACATCAACTTCTTCCCACCACCCCCAGTGGCAATCTCCCAGCAAGCTTTTCAAGCTTTTCTAAGTTCTGCCAGAAAGCAAAGCAGGGAAGCAACTTACCCTGCTATCTTGCAGGGCAATTCTGATTCACCCCTTGATACTACATAGACCTAGATATCAACACTTTGTGGACAAATTTATTAGAGGCCAGACCAACAATCTACATGGACTGCTACAACCAATTCCCTGGAATTCCTCCAGGGAATTCTGAGATTGTGGATGCAACTGGGGGGGAGAAGAGGCAAAAGTCCCAAGAAGTTTTGGGACCCTAGAGTCTGGGGTGTCTCCAAGATGGCACTTGGGCAGAAAAGCCATCTTTGGCTGCAAAGTAAACAGTAAGTGTTTACTGTGTGCCAGAGATGATGCTAAGCTCTAGGGATAGGAAGACAAATCAGAGGTTCATAGAAACATAAACCACAAGAGCAATGCATTGACATGAATGGGTACTACGGAATTTAAAAGAGGGAAATGTCCAGTAGTTTGCTGGAGCCAACATCTACTGGCTCCTGAGGGCAGATCTTTGGCATCTCCTACCAACTTGGAGTTCAGTAGCATCATTTTGGTAGTTTGAAATCAGCCAGGGTGGGAGTATTTATGCCACGGGAATCGGCCAATGCTACACATGGGGGCTTTTCTGCCCCCAGAGAGTGGGCTGCTGAGCACTGACGGGCATATCACTGACTCTGCTCTTGCTCGGGGCTGGAGTCCCGAGGAGGGCGTGGTGCCAAGATGAGCAGCTGCCCCAGAGCAGCACAACTGGGCGCCGTTGCTCCAAGTTGACCCAAACCTCAGCCAGCAGAAGGCGGGACTAGAAGAGTGCTCAGGCTTGGTCATTAGTATTGGTTTGGTCTCCAGCTCTGCGCTGATTTCCAGCTCGCCGATTTCTGTGGCCTGCATGCCGCTTATTCGCAGGAGGCGGGAGGGATTTGAGGAGGGGGCTGGTGAGGACAGGTCGAGCGCCGCGGCTCCTCACCTTCCCAGTGGATTGGCAGCGGTGCCCCTAGATGTGGGGAGCCCTGCGCCTGGGGCTGTGATGGCTTTCACCAGAGCAGCAGGTGCTCCGCTCCATCCTGTGAAGAGGTTTCTGACCAGGGCTTTGAGCTTAGACAGTGACCAGATCACACTGAAGCAGTCTCTGGGGGCACCAGAGAGTTCTCAAGTGCAGCCAGCTACTAACAGCATTGTTTGTTCTCCATTCCCACTTGCACAGGCTGAGGAGGGAGAACATCTGTGTTCCCCAGTCCCAGAGAATGACCCTTAAAGTGTGAGATGCAGAAAGGTCCCACCGCCTCTCTCGGGGACAGGCGTAGAAGAGGATGGGGAGAAAAGTTCCAGAACTACTTGTTTTGGTAATAACCAAACGCTGAGATTAACAGGCACCAGAGTACCACACCCATGCTGCTTAAGGAGCTTTGCGACAGATATGCCTGTTTAGCCAGGGGACATGTGCTGCAGACCAGGGCATGACACAGTGTTAGCTGGCAGACACCTCTTAGATGCTTTTATCCACTGGAGAGATTGGGAACTGAAGCTAGGTGAGGGGAAGGGGCTTTCTTAAGATCACACAGCCAGGGAGTGGCAGGCAGACCAGGGACTGGACCTCAGGTCTCTCGAGTCAGAGCTGCCTGCTCTCTCATCACCACACTGCCTCCTTCCCGGTGACCCAGGAAGCCGGAGGGTTATCATGACAGCAAGAGGTAAGGCATCCTGGAAGGTTTGAGAGAGGTCATTCAGAAATGTCATTAGCAGATCTCTCTCTTTTCATAACCAGGTGCTCTTATATCCCAGAACATCACAGTGGCTAGAAGGGATAGGGCAGGAACAGACATGAGGCTGTTCACCAGACACTGGTTACACCAGCTTCTTTGGGGACCCTGGCCAGATCTTTGGTCTTTAAGGGGAAAAGGGTGCCAGCTTACCCAGAAGGCAGAGCAGCCAAAGCCCATGCACAGGGGAGGCAGTAGTGGGAATTCCGGAAGGGAAAGGAAAGGAAGAGAACCAGGGCTCTGCTCCAGCCCAGCCACCCACAGAGAAGGTGGAGTGGTGCCTTCACCTATGGCTGAATCGTGGGCAGTGGCTTTTTGGTCACATTGTCAGGCTTCTCCCCTAGTTCCAAGATGTGGAGGCTGAGATGGTCCCTCCAAGCCCCGCTCAGCAGTGAGGACAGGGCTGGTGGGTCTTCCAGGGTCAAGTGGGGAAACAGGAGTGTCTCACTCTTGAGAGGGAAGTGGCACTTCTCCATGGCAGGCCTGGCGGTGCCAGGGGTCACCACAAAAAGGCGGCAGAGCCATGGCCCACCAGCCACCTGACAGGCTGGTTGTCTGGTGAAGTTGTTCAGGGCTCGGCACAGGACCCAGTCCTCGGTCCCGCCCATGTCCACCACCTCCACGGGTGAGCCCAGGCCCGGGAGGTGGAGAAGGTGCCGGGGGGGCATGTAGGTGTGGGTGAAGAGGAGTGTGTAGTGGGTGGGTAGGCTGGGGGGCGCAGGTGCATGAACCACCTGCTCCAGGTGCCCCAGGCCGGGCACTAGGCCCCCCTGATGCAGGCAGCCAAAGAAAAGGGCACCCAGGACATTGAAGAGGACCAGGGAGCCCTTGCAGGGCACAGGCTGGGTCTGTGGACTACAAAGCAGGACGAGGGGGACCAGGAGGGGAATCAGGAACCGAGCCTCCTGGTGGCTAAAGGCAGAGAGCAGGGCCAGGGGCGTGAAGTAGAGGAGCAGGAGGTGAGACCCGGGGCCAGACAGCAGGCTCAGGCCCCCCAGAGCCCTCCGGAAGCGCATTTGTGCAAAGGCTCGGAGGCAGGCTTGCAGCTGTTGCCACGCCGCGCGCAGGGCCCGGGCATGCAGCAT